GTTGTTTGTCTAATGCTTAGTCATGGCGTTCGGCCTACAAAACGCACCAGCCTTCAGCTCCTTTCACACAGTGATACTGGTAAATATCCGGAAGCTTTCCGGAACGACTTTACCGGTATTTTCAAAAAGAGCCTGTTCACTCATACAGACCTTTCCGGAAAATTGCCGGTAATTTTAGTGTCAGAATGTTTGCCTTTGTTTGGATCAGCCCACAACCAATAATATTTCAGCACCCTGGGTTGCCAGATGCTTGAAATCAGTGTATTTCGGTTCAATCTCAAAGGCATTTAGTGCATGCGGATGCCACTGAAAAATGTACCCCTGGAGGATATAACTTCCCGTGTTATAAAAATACACGTGAGGTGGTTTTAATTAGCAAAAAATAATACTTTATTTTATATACTTTGAAAAATAATACAAAATGCTCAATTGTCAGGCAGGCTCACCTTAGTGTCATCAATCTGGCAACTTAAATTTGCATCCAGTTGTTGGAGGGGTTAAGTGAACAAAAACTACAAAATTTTGGATTGTAATGCCTAGTTCCACCACTAGATGTCAATCCTATATTGACCATTAGTGCATATGCAGATGTACTTTTAGTTTTCAGTAACCCAGTTACTGAGGCGCTATGATGAATTGTGTGCCATTACAAAATCGCAGTGTTTAAGGTCTGTATTGAATTGTTTTTGTTTTGGACTTATTTAAAAATGATGGCAACATTTTGGAATATGAAGAATTTTTGACATTGTATAACTTCCCTTTGCCAGCTAAATCCTTCAACTGTGTTATAAAGAGTTTGTCACAAAGTTATGTGCATTTATTTAAAACGTTTCTTTACTTTAATGAGAGGGAAACAATTATGCCTTAACTTTTTTTTGGATGGAGTGTCTTTTTTTTTGGATAAAAAATGTGACAACAGACATGTCAGACGATTGCTACATTACTCTGTATAAACCTCCCCAAGATGTACATTTTTCTGGACCAATTTTTCTGATTGCATTCAATGGAAGAGAGCATGGTTATTACCTGAGAAATTCAGCATATCCAGCAAAAGAAGAGAGATACATTTTAAGATCTTGCATAATGTTTATCCTACAAATTCCCACATTGCTAATTATTTTGATATATCTAATTTGTGTACTTTCTGCAATATACATGAAGAGACTTTATTTCACTTATTCTATAGTTGCACTCATTAAACATCTTTGGAATAACATTATTTTTTATTTATCGTCCTTATTTAAACATGATTTAAATTTGTCAATAATAGATATGTTTCTGTACTGTTCGGGTGATGATCCTGCTCTCGATCTTACTGTTAATTTTTTTGTGTTACACTGTCAATTTTTATACACAAAAATAAGTTCCTAAAAACAAAACCAGTATTCAATACTTTCCTTGTTGAAATTTCATACAATATAAGCTTATGATAATTCATTTTTTTTGTTGGCTTAATCCCTTTATTAATCCGGGGTCACCACAGCGGAATGAACCACCAAATTATCCAACAAGTTTTTACGCAGCAGATGCCCTTCCAGCCGCAACCCATCTCTGGGAAACACCCACACACACACACACTCATACACTATGGACAATTTAGCCAACCCAATTCACCTGTACCACATGTGTTTGGACTGTGGGGGAAACCGGAGCACCCGGAGGAAACCCACGTGAAGGCAGGGAGAACATGCAAACTCCACACAGAAACACCAACTGAGCCGAGGTTCGAACCAGCGACCTTCTTGCTGTGAGGCAATAGCACTACCTACTGCGCCACTGCCTCACCTGAAGCTTATGATCATCTTTTTTCTTAATGATTAAGGCTTTGTCAGTTTTTTTCTCTCCCTCTCTTCTTTCTTATTTTTTTATTATTGTATTTTTTCTTCGATGCAGTGATGTTATTATTCTTGTAATAAATAAAAAAAGAAGTATTGCATTAAATTACACTGTCCCGTGCCATGTCTTTAAAATATTAAAGTGTATATTACTCCAGTATATTCAACGGTCTTTTATCTCATTTTATGCTTGATCAACTAAATATATGCTGAAGTCTATTCAACTGATTATATTGTCATTACATGACAACATCGATGCTGTAAAAGGAACTGTATAAAATTGAATATAGTCACATTAACCGTTCACCAGAAGTTTATCGTTAGGGAACAAAACACTAGCTGTGCATATAGCCCATTTTTGTGTTGACTTTGGAATTAGTAGAAGTGAAACTGAAGTGTTTAGTGTTTTACTGACCCTCCAGCTCGTCTTCTCCACCCAGACAGTCTCTGACTCCGTCTCGGACAGCGTGACGAGGTATACACACTCCTGACGGACACCAAAACGCGTTGGTTTTTTTTTGACAGTCTTCACAAAACAAACACAGACACAAACAGGTCAGGATTAGCAGGACGCTCCATGACAGCACCATACTGGACGGCTGCTTCTCACTCAGGGCAGGTTATGTACAAAGAAAGAATGTCAATCAAAGTGTTTCTGTTTTTATCAACGGTGATTATCTTAGTTTTACATATTGTAATCTATCTTCAATACTTGACAAAAAGACTCACCCTGGCAGCACATTTCATCACTGTTGTCTCCACAGTCGTCAATACCATCGCAAAGTTTTCCATAGTTTACATATTTCCCATTCACACAGCGAAACTTCATACTTTGCTCTGCACACAGATAACACATTACATTATGTAATCAAACAAAGTAATCTAAACGTATTTAATAAAAGTAATTTAATTGTAATCCAAATGTAGTTAGATTATATTAAAATAAAGTAATCTAAATGTAATCCAGACGTTGCCTGATCATGTTACCATAAAAGTAATTTCAATTGAATCCAAATGTGGTCAAATAATGTTACAATAATCTAAAGGTAATCCAAATGTAGTTAGATCATATTACCATAAATTAATTTATTGTAATCCAAAAGTAATCAGATTATGTTACCATAAAAGTAATTTAAATGTAATCAAAAAGTAGTCAGATTATGTTAAAATAAAGCAATCCAAATGTAGTCTGATCATGTCATCCTAAAAGTAATCTAAATTTAATCCAAAAGTAGTCGGAGTGTTATCATAAAAGTAATCTAAATGTAATCCAAAAGTAGTCTGTGTTATCATTAAAGTAATGTAAATGTAATCCAAAAGCAGACAAATTATGTAAAATAATCTAAATGTAATCCAAATGTAATCTGATCATGTTACAATAAAATTAATTTAATTGTAATCCAAAAATAATTTAGATTTAATCCAGAAGTCGTCAGATTACATTTATCATAAAATAATTTAAATGTGAACAAAAGTAATCTAATTATGTTACTATAAAACTAGTCAGATTACATTACCTTAAATGCGATTGAAATGTATTCAAAACGTAGTCCGATTAGTTTTCGTAAAGGTAATTTAATTGTAATCCAAAAGTAGTCAGATTATGTTGAACTAAAGTAATCTAAATGTAATCCAAATGTAGTCTGATCGTGTTATCACAAAAGTAATCTAAATGTAATCCAAAAGTAGTCAGATTATGTTATCTTAAAAGTAATCTAAATATAATCCAAAAGAAGTCTGATCGTGTTATCAAATTAATTTAATTGTAATCCAAAAGTGGTCAGATTACGTTAAAATAAAGCAATCAAATTGTAATCCAAATGAAGTCTAATCATGTTACCATAAAACTAATTTAATTGTAATCCAAAAGTAGTCTGATTACGTTTACCATAAAAGTAGTCAGATTACATTATCATTAAAGTTATTTAAATGTAATCCAAAAGTAGTCAGATTATGCTAAAATAATGTAAATGTAATCCAAAAGTAGTCATCTTATGTTAAAGTAGTCTAAATGTAATCCAAAAGTAGTCAGATTATGTTAAAATAATCTAAATGTAATCCAAAAGTAGTCAGATTATGTTAAAATAATCTAAATGTAATCCAAAAGTTGTCAGATTATGTTAAAATAAGGTAAATGTAATCCAAATGTAGTCTGATTATGTTAAAATAAGGTCATGTAAATGTAATCCAAAAGTAGTCAGCTTATGTTAAAGTAATCTAAATGTAATCCAAAAGTAGTCAGATTATGTTAAAGTAATCTAAATGTAATCCAAGAGTAGTCAGCTTATGTTAAAGTAATGTAAAAGTAATCCAAAAGTAGTCAGATTATGTTAAAATAATGTAATTGTAATCCAAGAGTAGTCAGCTTATGTTAAAGTAATCTAAATGTAATCCAAAAGTAGTCTGATTATGTTAAAATAATGCAAATGTAATTCAAAAGTAGTCAGATTATGTTAAACTAAAGTAATCTAAATGTAATCCAAATGTAGTCTGATCGTGTTATCACAAAAGTAATCTAAATGTAATCCAAAAGTAGTCAGATTATGTTATCTTAAAAGTAATCTAAATATAATCCAAAAGAAGTCTGATCGTGTTATCAAATTAATTTAATTGTAATCCAAAAGTGGTCAGATTATGTTAAAATAAAGCAATCAAATTGTAATCTAAATGAAGTCTGATCATGTTACCATAAAACTAATTTAATTGTAATCCAAAAGTAGTCTGATTATGTTTACCATAAAAGTAGTCAGATTACATTATCATTAAAGTTATTTAAATGTAATCCAAAAGTAGTCAGATTATGCTAAAATAATGTAAATGTAATCCAAAAGTAGTCATCTTATGATAAAGTAGTCTAAATGTAATCCAAAAGTAGTCATCTTATGTTAAAGTAGTCTAAATGTAATCCAAAAGTAGTTATCTTATGTTAAAGTAGTCTAAATGTTATCCAAAAGTAGTCAGATTATGTTAAAATAATCTAAATGTAAACCAAAAGTAGTCAGATTACGTTAAAATAATCTAAATGTAATCCAAAAGTAGTCAGATTATGTTAAAATAATCTAAATGTAATCCAAAAGTAGTCAGATTATGTTAAAATAATCTAAATGTAATCCAAAAGTAGTCAGATTATGTTAAAATAAGGTAAATGTAATTCAAAAGTAGTCAGATTATGTTAAAATAATCTAAATGTAATCCAAAAGTAGTCAGATTATGTTAAAATAAGGTAAATGTAATTCAAAAGTAGTCAGATTATGTTAAAATAATCTAAATGTAATCCAAAAGTAGTCAGATTATGTTAAAATAATCTAAATGTAATCCAAAAGTTGTCAGATTATGTTAAAATAATCTAAATGTAATCCAAATGTAGTCTGATTATGTTAAAATAAGGTCATGTAAATGTAATCCAAAAGTAGTCAGCTTATGTTAAAGTAATCTAAATGTAATCCAAAAGTAGTCAGATTATGTTAAAGTAATCTAAATGTAATCCGAGAGTAGTCAGCTTATGTTAAAGTAATGTAAATGTAATCCAAAAGTAGTCAGATTATGTTAAAATAATGTAATTGTAATCCAAGAGTAGTCAGCTTATGTTAAAGTAATCTAAATGTAATCCAAAAGTAGTCTGATTATGTTAAAATAATGCAAATGTAATTCAAAAGTAGTCAGATTATGTTAAACTAAAGTAATCTAAATGTAATCCAAATGTAGTCTGATCGTGTTATCACAAAAGTAATCTAAATGTAATCCAAAAGTAGTCAGATTATGTTATCTTAAAAGTAATCTAAATATAATCCAAAAGAAGTCTGATCGTGTTATCAAATTAATTTAATTGTAATCCAAAAGTGGTCAGATTACGTTAAAATAAAGCAATCAAATTGTAATCCAAATGAAGTCTGATCATGTTACCATAAAACTAATTTAATTGTAATCCAAAAGTAGTCTGATTACGTTTACCATAAAAGTAGTCAGATTACATTATCATTAAAGTTATTTAAATGTAATCCAAAAGTAGTCAAATTATGTTAAAGTAATCTAAATGTAATCCAAAAGTAGTTAGATTATGTTAAAATAATGTAAATGTAATCCAAAAGTAGTCAGATTATGTTAAAATAATGTAAATGTAATCCAAATGTAGTCTGATTATGTTAAAATAATGTAAATGTAATCCAAATGTAGTCTGATTATGTTAAAATAATGTAAATGTAATCCAAATGTAGTCTGATTATGTTAAAATAATGTAAATGTAATCCAAAAGTAGTCAGATAATGTTAAAATAATGTAAATGTAATCCAAATGTAGTCTGATTATGTTAAAATAAGGTCATGTAAATGTAATCCAAAAGTAGTCAGCTTATGTTAAAGTAATCTAAATGTAATCCAAGAGTAGTCATCTTATGTTAAAGTAATCTAAATGTAATCCAAGAGTAGTCATCTTATGTTAAAGTAATCTAAATGTAATCCAAAAGTAGTCAGATTATGTTAAAGTAATCTAAATGTAATCCAAGAGTAGTCAGCTTATGTTAAAGTAATCTAAATGTAATCCAAGAGTAGTCATCTTATGTTAAAGTAATCTAAATGTAATCCAAGAGTAGTCAGCTTATGTTAAAGTAATCTAAATGTAATCCAAGAGTAGTCATCTTATGTTAAAGTAATCTAAATGTAATCCAAGAGTAGTCAGCTTATGTTAAAGTAATCTAAATGTAATCCAAGAGTAGTCATCTTATGTTAAAGTAATCTAAATGTAATCCAAGAGTAGTCAGCTTATGTTAAAGTAATCTAAATGTAATCCAAGAGTAGTCAGTTTATGTTAAAGTAATCTAAATGTAATCCAAAAGTAGTCTGATTATGTTAAAATAATGCAAATGTAATCCAAAAGTAGCCAGATTACATTACCATGAAAGTAATTTGAATGTAATCCAAAAATTGGCTGAATACATTACCATGAATGTGTAATCTGATTGTATTACTGACTACTAATTTTGTTACGCAAATTGTAATCAGATTGAAATTAATAAGTAATCCACTCAGTTACATATTGGATGAGCTGAATGTGTGTAAGTTTAATGGCTGAACTGTATCTTTAAATTTGATGAAATGCACCTTTAGTAGTCTCATTGTAGCAGTTTGCGACGGCCACTTGTTGTTTTTCTTTGATGGGTGTCGGATTATAGATGGTGCATTCGGCCAGCGAGAGCTCAGATCCCGTACAGCGAACTTTCATACACTGATCTGGCCAATCCTCTCCTTCAAGTTCAACATACTGCATTTTAGATGCCCTCTCTGCTCCTCTGAAACAGACAGAATCAGGGTCGTCAAGAGCTGAATTGCTTTGTTAAATTATTAATTAAATGACTAATTAAATTATTTATTATCAATATTTCGATGTGCTCTAAACACCACAGTACAGCAAAGTTTCTTAAATTGTTGTGATTGCAAAAAAAAAGTTATACGAACACATGAAATCAGTAACTGAACGTTAAATGCGTACATTAATCTAATTCCAGCTTGTCTTGTGCAAATGTGTATGCAAGTTTGTGTGTGCGAGAGTGACACTGTGTGTTTCTGAGTGTGTCTTTAGTGTGTGAGTGTATGTGTGTAATTTTGTGTGTCTGCATGTGTTTGTGTCTATATGTTTATTTATATATGTGTGTGTGTGTGTGTGTGTGTATGTATTTGTTTGTGCTGCTATGTGTGTGTGTATGCGTGCCTATGTGTGTGTGCGCAAGCTTGTATTTGTTTGCGTGTTTGTGTGTGTCTGCATGTATGCATGTGTGTATAATCGTGTGTGTAATCTTGCATGTGTGTAATTTTGTGTGTCTATATGCATGAGTGTTTTTGTACAGGTGTGTGTTTGTCTGTGCCAGTGTGTGTACTTATGTGTGTATATATACAGTATGTGTGTAATTTTGTGTGCATTTTTGCATATGGGTAATACTGTGTGTATGCGTGTTTGATTGTGTGTCTATATGTGTGTTTGTGTTGTGTCTGTATGCATATGTGTGTTTTTCTGTTTGTTCAGGTATTGTGTGTGTGTGTGTGTGTGTGTGTGCGTGTGTGTGTGTGTGTGT